CACTGTCCATATCCAATTATCTACTGTTTGTGTGCGTGTATGTGCGTGTAGTTAATATGTAACACCCCGGGTCGATACGGCTGCTGGCTGAGCTGACAGACTCAATCTGTGTGTGTCAAACACGTGTGATTAAGGAGTTCATAGTGCACCGCGGCTTTTATCCACCATCCTCGTCTCTCTGCCCTCCTCCCTCTCGCTTGCTTTCTCTCTCCCCTTCTCTGTTTACTTTTTCTTCCTTCAATCAGTAACTTCCATGAGTCAGTGCCACACATGACACTCTGTGGTGTATCTGTGAGAACGCACACACACACACACACACACACATACACACAAAGGACGTAGTGTAGATGTATAGGCAGGGTGGATATCATTCTATGCTACAGAGGAAAAGCTACACGCAGAGATTCATAGAAACTGGAAAAATTAAAAGAAGTCGTAGAAATGCATAATGATATTCAATGCAGAGTTTGCTTTAGTTGATAAGTATTCAAGTCTTGCTAAAAGCTGTGGGAATATACAAAAATATAGAGGCACCATTGGCCTTATGTAAATACAACTGGCAAGATCCAGATCAATACAGAGGGCTTTGGCTGCCAACCCGCTCACTGACTGATTGCTTTCTATTTTTCCATCTGTTGTTCCTGCTTCTATCTCCTCAGGTTGTTGGATACTTATTACTCTGTCCTGATAAGAGCCACGTCTGAATTCCCTGACCTCAGGCCTACAGGGTTAGGAGGGCGAAGAAAGACAACCTCTGCAGGTTTATCTCCACCATTGTCCAGGAGAGGATTAAAGCATTCATTTTATTCTCTCCTCTTTTTGAATCATCAGGTCTCTTCTACTGCAAGAAAATTCAAGCGATGCATCCACTGAAATGGAATATAATCTTTGGACTGATGCACTGCTGGCCTTCTCCATCCTGATCTCTCTCTCACACACACACACGCGCACACACACACACACACACACACACACACACACACTTCATCCTGTAAGCTGCTCCCTATCTCTGTAAACTGGTCCTAACTCGTGTAAATATTGGGTAAAGTACTGAGGTGTGATGAGATAACCTATTTGTCACATAACCAGCCAGCCATTCAGCCTCCACTGATTAAACAGCACACATCAAGTGGTCCACACACAAACCATGACAGGCAGCTCACACACACACACACACACACACACACACACACACACACATGTATGACTAATATATGGATTTATTTTTATAAAATACACTAAAAAAAAACACATGATGATGATGTACTTGAAGAATTGTATCAACATGTCACCTTTAATAATGAACCAATAGTATATCTTCTGCCCCCTTATTCACAAAAAACAATAGAGAAGGATAACAAAGACGACGTTGATTGCAGCTCATGACAGATTATTTATAGACATACGGTTACATAAAATACGTCACGTTATAATTAGACTTCAGAGGTGGATTATGCATGTCTATTTTTTTTAATGTTTTTTATTTATGATAATTTTTTTGTTTTTAGGAACAAAAGAAAAGAAAAAGAAAAAAAAGGAAAGCAGAGATATGAGGTCATGGGATGTTTACAAAGACATAACAAATGTTCCTAATTTAAAGTATGGTTTCATACATGGTGCATACGGTAATCATGTGACATCTGTCTCACGGCTAAATAAACACACCATTTTCTCCACTGTTTTTCTCCCACTTCTGTCTGAAGTCGTATGGAAGATGTCATTTGTTCCAGGAGATGTAAGTGTTAAACGGTATTAATAAAGAGGCTAGCAGTGGGACAGGTTTTTTTGTAATGGGCCTTTATCTTGCTGCCAGCAGTATAGTAGATTTAGTAGATATGAATGTCTATTCTCATAAAGTTAAAAGTGATACAACTGTTTGAAACTGCCATTCTCACTTGTACAAAATGTACATTTGGCAGTTCTCAGAGGTGTTCTACCTCGCTAACATCTACGGATTATGAAGTCATATCTGTAGATCCTTCATGCTGTTTTTATAGTACTACCCATTATTCTGTTTTTGTTGCATTACATTTGACCTTGCACTGGAAAGCACCTTATGCTCCTCGCTTCAAAAGTTCTGTTCTAATAAATTATTATCAGCTCACTCCCCCAATATGACCTTGTCTAAAGATAGGTGGGGAATATCACAGTGGTTAAGGGAAAATTTAGCTGAATCATGGTCTGCCCAACACCTTAAAATGTCAAGCTGAGTTGTGAAAAGTCATAGGTAAGCTGTTTCTGTGGTTCATATCAAAATATGGTTCACAGTTCAATGAAGCATATTTTCTATACTCATTAACCCCAATAACTAACTAACCAGATCAGTATTTTACAGTAAGTTTGCTATAAAGGCCTGATGTTTAGTTAAAGCCTGACACATATCCTGGTGCACAATGCCACCTACTGCACAGAGTTTCAACTGCACTTGCACAGTACAAACTCCGTGGTATCCACTACAAGAATGGGACTTACATTTTATACATACCACTGATGCCTAGAGTCCATATGCAGATAACTGCTAACATCCACTTTTCTTTACACTTTAGTTTTAACGTTTGAATGAAAATCACATTACTCCAGTGTCAACATCACGTTTATTTTGTATCTGCTTGTTCCAACTCTGTTTTAATGGCTGCAACATGCAATACATTCTATTTATCTTTTGCATGAGCTGATAGAATTTTCCCCATAACTCTTCAGCAAAGTGAGAATATCCAATCAATGGCATTCACTACAGAATTCTGTGCGTTTGAGAAATGTCCTGCTGGACAGCGTGAGTTTTTAAATAATTTTTTTATATACTCAACTAATCCCCCTGAGGGGAAATTCAATTTTCAATAATGTGTGGCCTAACTGACAGGGGGTTGAAGAGGAGGGTTCAAGTCCCTAAAACTATGGACATCATCAGCATTGTCTTAACAAATTTATTGAGCAGTTTCAAATACTATGCACAATCACACAGGTGTTTTCCAGTGTTGTATCTAATAAGATCTCTACTCAGATCGAAGCTTTAGGGATGAGCAATGCACTCACTTGAGAAAAAAAAAAAAATGTTTTTCTGAGCTGATGAGATTATTATATCAGAATTATGAGAAGTTTTCATGGAAAAATAATTCTGCTCATTTTTCTGAAAAGCAAAAAAAATCGGGGAAAAAAGATCATTCAGGAGTCTATCTTGATAATTTAGAAAAACAATTGTCAGAATTTCTTCCCGAGAAAACTTTCCTCACAATTCTGAGATAATCTCTCATAGAGGAAACAAAAATCCTCAGGTCAATGTTTCACACTTCCAATGAGCATCATTCAATCTTTAATTATGAAGATGTAAGTTGTTTTACTTCAACAGATAGAACAGGAGAGATTATGGCTTGTACAAGAACAAAATGAGGCTTTTTTTGTGGTGCAATTATGTATCTTAAAAACCCCTGCACAAGTTTGTCATCTCATCAAATCAGTTCAGTTTGAGAGAAATGACACACCCACACAATGTGGTTTAGTACTCAGTTAAATTAAGTGAAAACACCTGTGTGGGTACATCACCTAGCTGGGCTCAGCAGGACCCACTTTGATTCATTATATATATTTACAAAAGCATGGGTGTTACTCATAACAGTACAATGGCTTTGTGCTACAGGGGTCTCAGTAAGAAAGTGAGCCAGCACACACAATAATGGGACCCAAAAACCAGCCACTGTAATTTTATTACCACACTTTTCATGTGACATGTCAAAATGTCTGATGAAAAGGACCTACAGTACGGGTCAATAGGTGAGAAAAGTTGTTTTCCACATTTATCATCAATACATGCCAACACAGTAGGAACAAATCAAAGAAATTCAGTGAAAACTTCTGTGATTGCTGCTGGTCAGGAGCTTATAGGCCCAGCTTGCCAATTAGCCATTATCACTGCAGTCATTTTACAGTAGGAAAAGCACAGGTGTATTTAATAACAGTAATAGCTGCAGTGAGGCCTAGGTATGGTCAATGCTGGCTCCCTGGAATAACTTACTATAAAACTTAATGGAACTGAGCCATTGTTGATGTCATAAATTTCACCTGTGCTATTCCTACCATGACAACTCAAAATGTCTGCTGTGAAAAAGGTCCATTGTCAGTGCATAAAAGTTTAACCTTGCAGACAGCTGTGAGTTAGGTGTGAGGATGGGAAGTGCTTGTGACATGTGCGCCAGTCACTCTCAGATCGCCGGTGAAATGAAGAGTGCGTTTGATTTCATTAAGCAATCAAAGGAGGAGGATCATCACTGAGTGACACAGCACACCATGACACTTGACCATCATTCTAATGTAGGAACAGATGACAACATGACAAGCAGCGTGTGTACAAATGTTTATTGTGATGAGCACTTTATGCCATGAACTCGTAGGGGATGGGCTCCAGCAGCTGTGGCTCGTTTTTCTTGGTGCTGACGAAGTGAGCGTCACGGGGAGGAGCGGGCTGTGGAGACAAAGAGGGAAATTTTAGATGATCAAATGATATTTAAAAACAGAAACCCCCCAAAAAACTGACAAAACATTTCTAGACTGTTGAGATTAATTAATTCACAACGTACTTTTAAATATACAACTGGGACTAATTTAATTTCTCCTTATTTTTTTCCTTCTGTGACAGTAAACCACTGCAACTGAATGACTTTCTTCACAAAAGGTTTTCCACATGACATTAAGTAGATTTTCCATTATATTTCAACAGAAAAATAAATAAAAGTTAATGCATCATTTCATACCTGTCGTTTCAGCTCCACCCAGCTGCCCTTCTGCTTGGCCTCCATCTTCCTGGCCTCGTTCTCTTTGACACGCTGCAGGAAGCTGTCCCTGCTCTTTGAGTGCTTCACATGCTCAATACGCACGTTAATCCTCTTGGCCAGGATCTTGCCCCTGCGAGAGCCGAAAACATAAGCAAGTTAATAACAAACACATAAAATAAAAACAACTTGATAGCTTTGGCTCAGAATTCAATGTAATATTGTTCCACTATCTGCACTTGTCTCCTCAATACAGCCCCAGGTCAAACAGCAGTTAGACTGGGGTGTGTAAGGATGATTTACTTTTCCCCACATGAATGACCACTGAGGACATGAACAATCCTGGTGGCAAAGTGAAGATGGGGTCACATCCCTCCCTCTAGATCAAGTGAATGAGCAAGTACACGCCTAAGACTGAAGCAGGATTTACAGGTTCCAGAAAAAATGTCATGGTAACAATGATGATATGATGGATTTTAGAAGAACACACTCATTAACATTTTATATTTATGTGACATCAATCAAACGCTCCAATTACTCTGTTAAAGATAGGAATGTCACCCTGTTATTCTACCTTGCCACTCTGTATGAAAAGGAAGGAACACAGAATGGGAGGACAGAGTAGCCCTGACTTAAGCCCGCAGCAGAGGGTGTAACAGAGCCAAATCAATGTCTGTGTAAAAAGTGTGAGCCTGCAAGATGCTCAAGAGGAAGTACAGCAAACAAAAATGTCCACAAAGTGGGGACACAATGAGGTCCAGGAGCCAAGCAGAGGACAAGAGTAACTGCCATACATCAGGTAAGTGATTACTGTTGCAATGTTATTTCATCGTTAATGTTAAAAAACTCTATTTTAGGCAATGCCAGTATGTTATATAAAAATCATACACATGTGGGTGTTACTTCGTCCTGTGTAAAAATGAAGGGTCTTTGTTGTGACGGTATTGTGGGACCTCTGTGCACAAAGGGCTGAAGACTCATGGACTGTCTAAAACTGGCCTGAGACAACAGCAAACACCAGAATGGCCAACACAACCACCACAAATTAAGCTGTTCTCCTCCTACATCCCCTGTAGACTACGAGAATGGAACGTCTTTAAATAATTGATTATCAGTGTGACAGAGTTTAAAAACCTTTAGTTTGTGTCAGCTCAAAGTTACGTAACTGTGCATATTTAAATGTCATAAATTATTTACTACTTTCTACTTACTTGACCTGCTTGTTGACAATAATGCCGACAGCATGTTGAGTTACGTTGTAGACACGTCCTGTTTTGCCATGGTAGCACTTGTGAGGCATACCCTTCTGAATGGTGCCTGTGCCCTGGAAAGAAATAACATGTAACAATGTGACATCTGCAACAAATGTAGTCACTTTAATCACTACAGCATCAAATCGGTAACTGTTTCAAAAGTTAAACTGACAGTTTGGGTAAAGTTGTCCATTAACAAACGAATCTCCGCACATATGATGCACATTTTAGTTGACGGAATGTTTAAACATTTTTATTGAGTATACAGGCTACACATTTTTACAACTGGAAAATGTAATAATCACTTAGGGCTTACAACAATCACTCATTTCCATATCCTTTTTGTCAAAGCCACTTAGAGCCACTGGAGAAGAGCTTAAGAGCCGTGTGTTGCCTACCCCTGACCTAGACGTAGCCTAAATCATTGTAATGCCACATTTTAAAGCATATTTCACTACAATCTCTCACAAATTTAGAAAGATGACTGATGATGTATGAGTCAACACATATGCTGGGTCTTACCTTGATGTCGACGATGTCTCCCTTCTTGTAGATGCGCATGTATGTGGACAGGGGAATTGGGCCTGTGAAGTAAATGCAACAAATTAATTCATGTTGTTTTGCACAGATTTGACAGTGGTCATAAAAGCCAAATTTCCTAAACTTCATTCATAAAAGGAAAGTGCACTCAAAGCTACCCCTCAAAATTGGACTCACCATGCTTGCGGAATGCCCTGCTGAACATGTACCTGGTCCCCCTCCTCTTGCCTCTGGTGTTCGTCATGATGCCTGATTACTGAAAAAGAAAATACACCCCAGTTAGTCATGTTAGAGCATGAATACTTTCTTACAAAAAGCATATTTTATATCTGTTTGACTGGATGGAAAACAGCATGTAAATAAAGTCTATGCATCCCAAAATCTAATTTTACTTTGTTTTCATCTCTATGCATCACATGACAGCATTTTTTTTTGTATCACATTCTATTCATAAAATTACTGTAGCACAATTTTAAAATTCAACATGAAAACAAAGCCTTCATAGGTTTGATTTATTTATTAGTTATGATGAATAAATTCTCATTGTTTTACTAATCGTCAGTCCATGCAATGTTTTAATATGGTGTCTGATTTCTATTTAATAGTTGTATGTGTGGCATCATTTTAGACCATTTGCAAATGTAAAATTTCCATATTTCCAGTTAGATATGACTAGTGACGATTTTTAAAGGCCAATATAGGATCCAGTTAGCTGCCACACTGGCTAAAACTTATCTCAGTGTATTTAAACAGCTCATCCAAGTGAATGACAGCAAAACTGGTCAAGTATGTATCTGTCACTAACACATGAATGCGACATTTGATCATTTTGATTCAACCTCAAGTAACAATGCTGCTAATTACACCAACTAAGTATGAACAACTATGCTAATATAAAGGCTAGCAACAAAATATCATTACATCCCAAGCACACGTAACGTTAAGTTAGACAGCAGCTTATCTGCAATGTCACAGATCGTTATAAACACCCTAATATCCACGATAAATTAAATGTTAAGCTGTATAACAGCGGGTGCAACAGGATGTTAGAGGAAAATACTGTTTCTACTAAACGTTCCGCAGCCTGTCAGGCCCACATGGAGAGCCACGCTACTGGTCCTACTCATTTTTAACGGAAATTATCACTAAATATAAAGATTTTTCGGGCTGTACTATCACACTGAGGTGAAAGGGAAACCCTGCGGTACATGTATTAATGTAATTGTGTACGAATGATACGATAATATAGTAGAAAATGTAATTTAACACGGAGAGAATCTTACCCCCGGTCTCTACAAGATGGCGGGTACGGCGAAAAGAGAGATCGAAAGACCCCAAACTCCGGCTCGTGAAATACAATTGAGGCTGGCCGAGATACTGCCTGAACTAAATTAATGTAATGCCAAAGTAAATAGGAGTGGTGAGCAGACCCAGAGTCAGCTGCCTGCGTGTTTTTGAGGTTGTTGCAGGGAAGAAATATGTCTAATGAACAGTCAATGTTTAGGACAGATGTTAAATAAAGGATTACAAATGTAATAACTCATTTGTGAGACATATGATACACTACCCTATTAGAATTTATTTAGACTTACTATAACAATTATTTTGTCAACAGTAACGTTAGTCGGTGTATTTTACACTGAAGCTATCAAATAAATAAATAAGATTAAAAAAATATCACTTTTTAAAAATGTAAAAATGATCTCTCTGAATACTGTGTGTTCTGTAACACTGGCACAGTAACAATTATACATTTATTTTATGAATGCATGTATGTAACAGTCTTCTGGATTGATACTGAACATGTTTCTGACATGTTATTAAAATTAATATATACTTTATTGATCCCCCAGTGGAGAAATTCAAATGTCACAGCAGCACAAGACAAAAACAAAAAGATAAACAGATTAAGATAAAAGAGAAATAAATAAATAAATAAATAAATAAACAAAAAGATAAAATAAAATAAAATTGCTCCATAAAGACGAATAAAGTGACTAAAAATGGCAGACAAAGTGCTGAACAGAATAAAATGACAAGTGTTGTGTTATGTGAAACTAAAAATAATACACAGAAAAGTGATGTTATTTTTATTATGGAAATGATCTGGACAGAGGTCATGACTTTATATTGTATTTTCTCGTCGTTTTTTTTAAATCCAAAAATGCAAATAGTATGAGAGGAGACCCAATATTCACCACTTAAAGCACTTTAAGCATGAAATGCAACACTGACAGGATTGACAAAACAGAAAGCCACCAGGGCTATGTTTATTTATGCCTTAAAAACCTAAATTTTAATTTTAATTCGTTCATTTTATTAATTGTATTCATCCACATTTTTGTAGCTTTTTATGATGACTGAATAAATGAAGTTAAAGAGGAAAATAGAGGAAAAAAGAGTCAGCTCATTCTCATTCATATAGAGCCATTACCACTTGTTCCGGAAGCGAGCTGGTCCTAGATCAGTTGTGACCTCTAATGTTTTCAGAGTTAACTGTTTGTCTCAGTCTGTTAAGAAAGGGTCATTTTTCTGCTGCTAACATAAAACTATTCTCAAACAACTGCCCTTTTCCTGTTGACAGTTTACTACTTTGCTGGTGCAAACACAAGTCACGGTTACTGATAATACGCATGCGCAAAACTTCAGTGAGGCTAACCTTTATTTTTTGACGGTGTGTAACGTGACTTTATCAAAGATGTTGACATGATTTAATTTGACTTCTACACACTTTTCTTTAAGGGTTAGTTGTGTCCGACTGTGTGACACTCATAGCCCAAAAGAAAGCGATCCACTGCACCGACGGTGATGAAGTGAAGACGGAAACAACCGGCAGTGAACGCTCTCGTTTTCTTGAGCTGTTGGACCTTCCGTCGCGAGCTCAGCAGAATCGCTTGCCTGCCCTCACGAGGGGAGCCAGCCCAGTCTTGTCAGCGCGAGGCGGTGTGGTTGAAGATGGCGCTAGCCGAATGGAAATCCTAATGACAGTCTCCAAATTTGCCTCTTTTTGTACCATGGTGAGTGCACGGCAGTCTCATACCGGCATTAGTCAGGCTATACGGTGATAGGGAAACCGTGGCTGCACTATTATCGGCCTTTTAACCGTGTATTTCTAAATAAAATCAGTTAATTTTGGTGTGTGTGCTAGCCAAGCAGTTTTGCGACCATAGCAAAGCAAGCAGCCACCCACTGCATTCTCCGGTCTGCTCGTTTTGCTAACGGCATTAGATTGACTCTCTTTAATGTTGACTCTATTTTAACTCATACCTTTACTATTTGCGTGGTTAGTATGTATCACTGCCTCTTAAATCGCAGTGACAGTGCACCTGCTGCAGCTGGGATTCACAGCTAACTAGCTAACGTGAATTAGCCGTGAAGCTAAAGCAGTGCTACATCTTGCCAACAACTGGAGCACAGCTGGGTAATGGATGGCTCTGACTGGTACACGATTAATTTGCAGTATGTGGAGAGAAACCGTGGGAAGAAAGCTAAGCTGACGTGTTGGTTATTACTACAAGACATTATTAACGCAGGCAATGACGACATGGTTTGACATTAGCTGCGTAGTTGTGGA